TCATACAAAGAAGGGAAGGCAAGGTCTAACTGCTGGAAGACCATTTTAGACTGGACATAAGGAAAAACTTACTTCCCAAGTCTCCAAAGTCTGGAGTAGACTCCCCCAGAAGTAGTGCAAGCACCTACTCTGGATATGTTCAAGAAACGACTGGATGCTTATCTTGCTGGGGTCATCTCACCCCAGCTGACTTCCTGCCCTTGGGCAGGGGGCTGGACCCAATGATCTCATGAGGTCTCTTCCAGCCCTAACATCTATGAAATCTATGAATCTAGCACCAAGTGAGGTTATAATCACATATCAAGCATGTGACACGACACAATCTTTATTCAAAACAGAAAAAGGAAGTCTGTATATTCAAGGTCACTTGACTAAGAAAAATAAGCTTTTATTCAGCTTATCCCTGTAAAGGCAGTTCAGCTCTTAGAGATTCTTTTCTGGCTCCTATATCATCAACAGAATTTTTGACCCAGTTCCAGCTGCGGAAGCTTTATTGATGTTGAAGATGTGCAAGCCAGAAAGAACATGACTTGACTTTACATCCCAGGCCATGTTTGTAGATATAAACATACATTTCTACTTATAAACATATTTCTATGCATGAGGAAAGACACTACCACCAGTAGAAGAGGTCACAGAGTAGTGACATATTGGTCCCATGCCAAGGGAGGACAGGTCTCAACTCCAGCCAAACCTCTCTATCTGTGGTTTTCAGCCAGGGTGCCATAGGACCCTGGGGTGCTATCAGAACCCTTGAAGAATGCTGCAAGATGAGAGGAGGTAAGCAGATAAACACAAGCTCAGGTTTGTCCCTGCCTGGCTGATTCCCCACTCCCACTGCCCAGCCCTTCTGCAAAGAGATAAGCACTGTAATATATAAAGTTAGTTTTTAAAAATTTGGTGCCATTCAGTTCACAAGGTAAGGAGGGGTGCCTGAAGTCCAAAAAGGTTGAGAACCACTGCTTTACAGGAATTGTTTTGGCAGAGGATTCCTGATATCTCTGGGGTGCTCTGTCTGATCCCATCTCACCAATGAATCATATCCCTTTTGTAGATAGCACACAAATCCAAACGTGATGGAGTGCAAGTTGCAGGTAGCTTGTGCGCTATATTCCATCTGTGGTTATTTTCCATTGCAGCCTGGGTTCTACCAGAAGAATCCAATGAATTAATTGGGCCAACGATCTGTACACTACAGCCTTACAGTCCTAAAAAGTGCCAATTAAAATTTGTAAACAAAAGAAAGCAATGAAAAAACAGAAAGAGGAATACCATGTACTATTACAACAGCACATAATTTTCTAAACTAAAATATTTCTCCTGATTCAGTATCCAGAATCAGATACAGAGATAAAGAGATGTATTACTACTTACACACCAGATCCACGAGGTTTAGTGCACAGCTTTAGAGACTGAGTTTAGCAAGCATATAAATTTAGAGCTTATTCCATCAGTAGTCTCCTACTACCATACAGGCTAGGGACAGACATTACACATAAATCGGTTTAAGTGATCAGAAACTGGTTTATATCTCTAACAGAATAGACATTCAGTGCACATAAACCAGTTTGAAAATGGCTGAAAATGCTTTGAGATAAGCCTGGTTGAATGACATCCTGAGGGGCCGTGGCTATGATGTGATGATTGACGTGCTCATAATGGGAATGGTCGGAGCCTGGGACCCCAGCAATGAGAGCATCCTGCATGCCTGGCACGTCTCCCACCACTACGCCAAGCTGATGCGCTGCCTCATGGTGTCTGACACCATCCGCTGGTCCCGTGACATGTACGTGGAACACATCACGGGCTACCGCCAGTACTCCGACCCCACCAGACGAACCGCCACCGAACTGGACCCAGAGGGGACCACCTGAACCCCACCTCTGCACCAGATGGACTTCACTTAGAGAGGATTCATCAGCAACGGACGACCCCGCTCCACCCAAAGAGGACCCCTGTGATGAGACTCTATATGGACTGAAACACTTTCTTCGAACTACTTCCTCCACCACTGCAGACCACTGTAATGGGTTTCTTTCTCTCTCAGTGTCGCAAACCCCCTCCCTCTCCTTCCCCAGGCTTAGTTGGCTAACATTGTATTTTCTGTAACCTAGTTGCATTCCCCTCCTCACCCCCATCCCTCTAATGTTTGTCCCTTGCTCGGGCAATTTGTATTTCCCTACCGGCTTTGTCACCTTTTTGGATTCACAATCCTAAACACATACTAATAAAAGTCAATCACTTAACTGATTTGGGCATGGGTGACTGGTGCTTCCTGGCTCTGGGGGAGCACCAGCAGCTGATTGCTGATGGGGAGAGAGGTCCCCCCAGTGGCCAGTCACTGATGGGGGAGGAGTCCCCCCAGCAACCCCAGTACTGGCTCCATCAAATGCTGATCAGCCCCAGATGGGGAATTTTCCTCCTCCTCCCACCGCAGGGTGGGGAGGGGGGCTCTGTTCTATGCTGGAGGGTACTCTTCCCCCTCCTTCTCCCTTGCCCTCACCACTGAGGGGTGGGGAGGGGGGACTCTGTGCAGGCTGCCCAGCCCCAGCCCTGGACCCAGAGGGGGACACTTCCCCCCCTGTGGGGCAGCAGGGGCTCTCTTCAGTGCTGCAGGAGAGAAATTCTTCCCCTTTCTTTCCCAATGCCACCACCACCATGGGGCAGGAGTGGAGGCTCTTATGGTGCTTCCTGGCCTAGCCCAGCTGGGGCACAGGGAGTGGCTTTAATGGAGTCACAGCTGCCGGGGGTGACCCTGGTCCTGCAGCCCGGCAGAGCCTGGCCTCGCTCAGTCCCAGCTAAGGCAACCACTTGGTTGGCAGCAGGCCAGGCTGCAAGGGTGGAGCCACTCCCAGCTAGTACAGCTCAGTTATGGGGAGGTGAGCACAGCCGGGCAGCTGCTTCCCCTATCAGTGAGAACAGCCCAGTGTGCGCAGCCAGTGGCTGGATGGACAGCAGCTTATCCAGGCCTGTTCAGAGGCACTGCAGGTACTTGAGAGGCCTCAGCGGGCTTTGTGGTGGGTGGCTGCTGGTCTCTGGGCCCGCAGTACTTCTGAGCAGGCCCAGATAAGCCACTGCCTGACCAGCTGCTGGCCACGGATGCCAGATGCTCATTGATAGGGAAAGCAGCTACCTGGCTGCTCTCACCTCCCTATCACTGAGCTGCACCAGCCAGGGCTGGCCCCACCCCCACAGCGGGGCCTGGCCTGGCCCCACCAAGCGGCAGCCTTAGCTGGGACTGAGCAAGTCCAGGCCTAACCAGGCCATGGGGCTGGGGCCAGACCCAGCAGTTGCGGCTCTGTTACAGCCACTCCCAGCACCCTGGCTGGGCCGGGCCAGGGAGCACTGCAAGAGCCACCCCTCCTTGCACTGTGGCAGCAGGGGAAGAAAAGGAGGGGGGAAGAGTATCCCCCAGCATAGAACAGAGCCCCCTTTGTCACCCTGTGGGGGGGATAGGGAAGAGTTCCCATCTGGGACCAGGCAGCATCACATGAAGCCCCCCCTCCCCACTCCTCGGTGGTGGGGGAGAAGCAAGGGGACGAGTCCCCTTCCAAGGCCAAGCAGCCTTGCAGTGCTTCCCTCCCCACCCCACAGTGGTGGGAGGGGGTTGGAGGGAGTTGAGGGAAAGAGCCCCCATTCCAGCACCAAACGGAGCCCCCCTCCCTGCCCTGTGGCAGTGGGGGAGAGGGAGGAGCAGCCCTGTGTGTGGGGATTGCTCCCAGCTGTCAGGAAGCTGCTGGGGTGGGCAGAGCTCTCCCCTCCTCCCCCCTACCAAACAGAAACTCCCTGTTCCCCCAGCCTCTGAACCCTGCAGGCCAAGGTGGGTGTTTAAACCCCCCTTCAGTCTAACTCATGCCTGTCAGGGCCTGGCCATGCCCCCCTCTGCTCAGCTCCCATATTGGAAGAGAAGGGCTGCTCTAGTGCCCCTGGGCTTCTGGCCTGAGCCACTGGAGGCATGTGCCAAATATCTATTCACTTGCAAACCAGTTCACTCTCTCCAAGTTAGACTAACCTTGAAAGATTGAATCAATTCAGACTCAGGCTTTTTGAATGTCCCTAGCCACATTGTTCTATACCAACACCACCTTGAAACAACATTGAAAAATAGCCAATACCAATTACCAATTTCTTTCCAAATTAGATCAGGTTCAGGAAGGTACTTAAGCATAGGTCAGGTCATACTGAAGTAAAGGTGCCATTCACGTGCATAAGCTTAGTTATGGACTTAAATATCTTGTTGAACTGAAGTTAGAAAACATAGCCTTCTTTTAAGTATGGCATCCTCTACATTACTTACCAGTAACAGAGAACAAAAGTCTCTTGGACTTGAGAGAAAAATGTGGAACTAAACATATGAAACGTTGAACAGAAATCATATTTTACAGATGTTTCTTGCAAGGGGACATAATTTACTGCTACCCATATCTTCTGTTATTATGCTGCTGTTTTAAAAATAATCTCCAAGAACTTTAGGATTTACTGATTGCATTACAGGTAAGAAAAACATTGTTTTTGTTTAGATGACCAAACAAGTGGTGTAGAGAGTGTCCCCCAGCATAGAACAGAGCCCCCCTTGTCACCCTGTGGGGGGGATAGGGAAGAGTTCCCATCTGGGACCAGGCAGCATCACATGAAGCCCCCCCTCCCCACTCCTTGGTGGTGGGGGAGAAGTAAAGTAGGTTAAAGTAAAACATTTTTGCTAACACACTTAAACACTTTCAACAAATAAGTTTAAATCTCCAGAGGAAAAGGAAAAATATTAGGCTTGTTACAGGAAATACAGATAATATTCAATAAGCTATTACTTCCAATAGGATCACAGTTTTAGGCTTGAGAAGATTCCTCTCTCCCGTTTTCATTTTGTTGCAAGACATCATGAAATCTTTTTTAAAACAAAATGAGAAACAATATCCTATTGTTGTTAGTGCACCAATCATGTCATTGTATTACTGGCTTAAAAACCAAAAACCATTTGATATTTCAAAACAATCATTACCCACCTCCTCTAATGTAGTTAATTTTGTAGAAAGAGAGTTGACTTGTTTTTTCTATGTTGTAAAAGGAAAAAAAAAGTTAATTAAAATATGCTAGGGGGAAAGGCAAGTCCAACTAAATAAAGGCCCAGTATCTGTTAGTAACAAAGACCAAGACTAATATTATGGCATCTGCATATTAACCTTCATTCAGTGTTTTGATTAAAAGAAACATGTCCTGAAAACTAAATTTGATATATTCACCTATCAAATTCAGTTTTCAGCACATGAATTTGATACGTGAATAGACTGAATTAATCTACCAGGTTTATGAAAGGATTAATAATGGTTCTTTTCCCTCATCAATTTATCCCTCTATCTTGGTATCAAATTCTTACTGAAAAATGGCTCTTAGAGATGACCCCATAGAAAAGGCACCCAATTCCTTCATGTTCCACAGCCCCTAAATCAGCAGGAGGTAGAAATATTTCAGATAGTGATATATTCCCTGTAATGGAACAAACTGAATTCTCCTTATTGTGGGCCACTTGGTCATGAAATATTTCTTAACACTCCCTACTTGTAGTCAGCAGACAGAAAGAGAATCCTTCATTATAACATCATTAAAAGGTTATGAAGGAATCTTCTATAAATCAAACATTTCCCCAACAATTAGAACAGGGGTTGTCAACTGGGGGTATGCATAACCCTGGGGGTACTTGGAGAGGGGCTAAGGGGTACACGTGGGTGGGTGGGGACAGAGGGCTGCCATGCACCACCCCACG